GTTGCGTTATGGATGCTTACTGGAAAACCTATATTATAAGTAAATGTTGGTTTCATAGGTTATGCAGTTCAGACACATATACAGGAACGCACGCACACACACCTACGCGTGCACTAACCAACTAACAAACATAGCCATACAAGAACACACACACACACACACATATAAACAAACAAACAAACACAGCCATACACAAACAAACACACACACCAACACGCACAAATTAAACAAACAAACAAACACAGCCATACACAAACAAACACACACATTAAACAAACAGACAAAGCCATACACAAACAAACACACACGCAAAAACACACACACACAAACACAGCCCTAGACAGATACACACGCATATACACATATCAACAACACACACCCCTTACACAAACAGACGCACGCACGCCCTCTGTGTATAAACACTTTCATTCATCGTCCTCCGTGCGCTTCGATTCCTTTCAGAGGCGGATCTCGTTTTTAATATCGCAAACCTTGTAATTGAAGCCTCTAAAAAAAAAATAAAATAAACAAGAAAGAAACAGGTAATCACCAGGTAAAATCTCACGGCATTTGCATTTCGTTTCAAAAATATGTGAAGGAAAGCAATTTATGTTTGAGGGGACGCGGTGACACTGTCGTATATTAGGTCGGCCCTTTTTTTGTTTTTTCTTTCGCTCACTCTCTCTCTCTCTCTCTCTCTCTCTCTCTCTCTCTCTTTCTCTCTCTCTCTCTGTCTCTCTCTCTCTCTTTCTCTCTCTCTCTCTGTCTCTCTCTCTCTGTGTCTATCTCTCTCTCTCTCTATCTCTCTCTTCTCCCTTTTCTTTTCTTTCTTTCTTTTGTATACTGTGACACTGTGTCACTGTTTTCTCTCTCTCTCCTCCTTTCACTTTTCTTTTCTCCTTTTTCTTCTCTTTTTTCAGTGGGACCAGGCATCCATACCGTACCGGGTCCCGGTCCCTGGGAATTATCAGGAAAGATTCGCGGGGGGGATACGGACACATGCGTAATCTATATTATTCATCAAGGTAGAAAACTTTCACGCAGCCGGATGTAACACGTTAGGTAAAGAAAAAAAAACACACATTAAAAACAAAACAAAAAGATATGAGTTCCAGGAAATGTACTCACACGGTAGTCATTAGTCAGAAATTACCTCATCATTCAGAAGGGAAAGACCTCGTCAATAATCAGGTAATGGCAGGCTATCATTGCCACCATAAAGATCCCGGGCCGATGTTTGCGAGAATGCAATTATCTTGTTTGGGACAATGACGATCATGGCACCGCACGCACGATCGCACGCACATCCACACACGCACGCAAGGACACACGTATGTCCCTGTGTGCATTCCTGCGCACAAGGGTATACGAGCACATACACATATGTACGAATGTTTTTTTTCGAAGACACACACCCAGAACACACACACACACACACACACACACACACACACACACACACACACACACAAAGACACACACTATACACACACAGACACACACACGGCCACCCACCCACCCACCCACACACACGGACACGCACACGTATTCATTCCACTGTCATTAACAGAACTGTGTCATGCCATTAGCTGTTGACATAATTGGCCTTGACATCGACACCATTCTTTGTTATTATTTTGAATTCTACGGGTGTAATGGCGTGGTTTAAATGTCCGATATAATGATATATTCAAGCGTATTTTACGAAGTGAATACCTGCCTGTGTGTATGCCTTTGCGTGTGCATGTGTGTGTGTATGTCTTTACGTGTATGTGTGTATGTGCGTGTGTGTATGTCTTCGCGTGTATGTGTATGTCTTTGTGTGTATGTGTGTGTGTGTGTGTCTTTGCGTGTATGTGTGTGTGCGTGTGTGTATGTCTTTGCGTGTATGTGTGTGTGCGTGTGTGTAAGCCTTTGCGTGTGCATGTGTGTGTGTGTGTCTTTGCGTGTATGTGTGTGTATGTCTTTGCGTGTATGTGCATGTGTGTGTATGTCTTTGCGTGTATGTGTGTGTGCGTGTGTGTATGTTTTTGCGTGCATGTGTGTGTGTGTATGTCTTTACGTGTATGTGTGTGTGTGTGTGAGTGTCTGTGCGTGTGTGTATGTATTTTAGGTGTAGGTGTATATACTTGTGTGTGTACGTTTGTATGTCTGTTTGTAGGCGTAAGTCTATGTATTATGAAAGTGTATACCAGTATGTGTGTGACTAAAACTACTAAAAAAACATTTCGTCGACTTTTTGTGGCCACACCTCCTCTTCCTTCCCCCTCTCCCCCCCCACTTGGCACCCCTTTCTCACGCAATGGCATCCTGTGACCCAAAGGAAGTCGCAGAGGCACCGTGGAAGTTGAATGATGGACTGGCACTCGCCCTTCCACTTTCCATTCACTTTACTTCCATTTTCTCGTCTCGCTCTTTGTCACTGTCAGGCGATATCCCTTTCTCTCTCTCTTCCTTTATATATATATATATATATATGTCTGTCGGTTTGTCTGTCTATCTATCTGTCTATCTGTCTGACTATCTGTCTCTCTCTCTCTCTCTCTCTCTTTATCTTTTTTTCTTTTTTTTCTTTCTCATTATCTCCTCTCTCCCTCTCTCTCTCTATTTCTCTCTTATCTACCTGTCATCTAAACCCTCTCTCTTTCATTCAGCTGTCTGTCAATCATCCACCCAATCTGATTATCTATCTCTCTATCTCTCTCTCTCTCTCTCTCTCTCTCTCTATCCCTCTCTCTCTCTCTTTCTATCTACCTATCTATCTCTCTATCTAGCTATTTATCCATCTATCTATCTATTTATCCATCTATCTATCTATCCATCGACCTTACTCCCTTTCCATCTATCTATCACCTTTTCCTTTGTGTGTGTCGACCTTTCTTTCCCTCCATTTCTTACACCCTTTCGATCCCCCCCCCCCCCCCCACGGCGTCGGGACAAAAATGCATCACGTAACACAATGTAGGTATATTTGTCATAGATTTCCGATGGCCTCACACAGTCCTGGCTGAGAGAGAGAGTATCACCTTCGTTTGGGGTAATTTCTGTTCCAGGAAAGCTCGTACCCCCCCCCCCCCCCCCCTCCCCCCCACCCAACACCTCTTTCTGGTCTTTCTGGTCTCTCTCTTTCTCTCCATCTCTCTCTCATTTTGCGTTTTCTCTTCTCTTGCTCTGTCTCTGCCTCCCTCTCTCTCTTTTTCTTTCTCTCTCTCTGTATCTGTCTCTCTCTCTTTCTTTTTTTTTCTCTCTCTCTTCTCCCCCTACCTCTCTCTCTCTCTCTTTCTTTTCTTTCTCTCGCTCTCTCCTCTCTACTTTTCTACCTTCATACTTCCTTCACTCTTCCAGCCTCCCTCCCTCCCTCTCGCTCTTACTCTCTCTCTGTCTCTGTCTCTCTCTTTCTCTTTTCTCTCTCTCTCTCTTCTCCCCCCTACCTCTCTCTCTCTTCTCTCTCCCCCCCCTCTCTCTCTCTCTTCTCCCCCCCCCCCTCTCTCTCTTCTCTCCCCCCCTCTCTCTCTTCTCTCTCCCCCCTCCTCTCTCTCTCTCTCTTCTCTCTCCCCCCTCTCTCTCTCTTCTCTCTCCCCCCTCCTCTCTCTCTCTTATATCACCCCCCCTCTCTCTCTCTTCTCTCTCCCCCCCTCTCTCTCTCTTATATCCCCCCCCTCTCTCTCTCTCTCTTCTCTTTCCCCCTCTCTCTCTCTCTCTCTCTTCTCTCTCCCCCTCCTCTCTCTCTCTCTCTCTCTCCCCATATTCTGACTGATGTATCATTTCCTGGTACTGCCTTTCTTAATGGATCTGCCGGCGGTTGTAGTGATATTCACACAAACACGCACTACATTTCTCTTTGTCTCCACACACACACACACACACACACACGCAAACACACATACACAAACACGCAAACACAAACACACACACACACGCAAACACACACACATACACACATACACAAACACGCAAACACAAACACACACACACACACAAACACACACACACGCAAACACTCACACATACATACACAAACACACACACACACACACACACACACACACACACAAACACACATACACAAACACACAAACACCCACACACACACACGCTCATCGTATACATGCGTACATGTACGTGTGTTTCTTCCTGAATATTCCCCTATGTACGTAAATAACTTACTTAATGATTAAACACACGATCCTGACTATCAAAACCTGAAACAGACCAGCAAAGAAAATAAATAAAAAAATAAAAGAATAGAAATAAAAATTTGACCAGAACAGAGCACCCTGAAGTCAAGATAATCTTTTTACTTCAAATTTACTCGCATCAAATTTTCTTGCATCAAATTTACTCGCATCAAATTTTCTTGCATCAAATTTACTCGCATCAAATTTTCTTGCATCAAACTTACTCGTATCAAATTTTCTTTCAATAAATCTACTCGCATCAAATTTACATTAAATCCAATCGCATCAAATTTTCTCGCATCAAATTTTCTCACATCAAATTAGTTCGCTTCAGATCCACTCGCTTCAAATTTCCTCGCATTAAATCTACTTGCATCAGATTTCCTCGCATTAAATCCACTCGCTTCAGATTTCCTCGCATTAAATCTACTTGCATCTAATTAGCTCACTTTAAATCTACTTGCATCAGATTTCCTTGCATTAAATCCACTCGCTTCAAATTTCCTCGCATTAAATCCACTCGCTTCAAATTTCCTCGCATTAAATCCACTCGCTTCAAATTTCCTCGCATTAAATCCACTCGCTTCAGATTTCCTCGCATTAAATTTACTTGCATCTAATTAGCTTGCTTTAAATATACTTGCATCAGATTTCCTCGCATTAAATCCACTCGCTTCAGATATCCTCGCATTAAATCCACTCGCTTCAAATTTCCTCACATGAAATCCACCCGCTTCAGATTTCCTCGCATGAAATCCACCCGCTTCAAAATTCCTCGCATCAAATCCTCCCTCACAAAAAACACTCCAAGAATCTACTCACCTGAAGCCAACACGAGGAAGGAGAAGTATGCAAGTGCTAAGGCTCGGCTGCGAATCGTTGGATACATCCTCGTCCAACGGGAAGGGGTGAGTGAGGCTGCTGGAGAGAGAAAAAGGAATTGATTTGGGGCATCTGGGCATTCATTGGGTATTAAACAGGGCATTTGGGTGTTAATTGGATATTAAACAGGGCATCTGGGCATTTATTGGGTATTAAACAGGGCATCTGGGCATTTATTGGGTATTAAACAGGGCATCTGGGCATTCATTGGGTATTCAACAGGGCATCTGGGCATTCATTGGGTATTAAACAGGGCATCTGGGCATTCATTGGGTATTAAACAGGGCATCTGGGCATTTATTGGGTATTAAACAGGGCATCTGGGCATTCATTGGGTATTAAACAGGGCATCTGGGCATTTATTGGGTATTAAACAGGGCATTTGGGTGTTAACTGGATATTAAACAGGGCATTAATTGGGCATTTGGGTATCGATTGGCTATTGAAAGGGCATTTGGATATTAAATGGGCATTAACAGGGCATTTAGGTATTAATTGGCTATTAGCAAGGCATTTGGGTGTTAAATGGGCATTAAAAAGGTACAGTGGTATATATCTGTGAATAAATTGATATGAGAAAAAAAAGAATAGAAATGGAAAATAAAGATAAGAAAAGAAAGAACAAAAGAAATAAAGAAATAAAGAAAGAAAATATATATTGTGTGTGTGTATGTGTGTGTGTGTGTGTGTGTGTGTGTGTGTGTGTGTGTATGTGCGTGTGTAGATATGTCTGTATATGGATTTTTGGATGACGGGACCTGCCTCTTCTTCTACTCGTCCTCCCACTCATTGTTTCCTTTCTCTCTCTCTTCCTTTACGCTCTCTCTCTCTCTCCCTTTCTCATTATCTCTCTCTCTCTCTTGTATTCTTTCTTTTTTCCTCCTTTTCTCTACTCCCTCACTTTCCTTCTCCCTCTTCCTTCTTTCCTTTCCTCTCCCTCTCTTCCTTTCCTCGCTCTCCCTCTTTCCTTGTCTCTCCCTCTCTTTCTCCCTCTCTCCCTCTCTCTCCCTCCCTCTCCCTCTCCCTCCCTCTCCCTCTCCCTCCCTCTCCCTCTCCCTCTCTCTCCCTCTCCCTCTCTTCCTCTCCCTCTCCCCCTCCCTCCTTTTACTCTTCCCGCTCTCTCTTTATGACTAAGAATTCTTCATATATTGGAAGTTAATCATCTTGTTCGTCCTGTGATTAAAGTTCGTGCTTCGCCTGGAAAGAATATTTAAAGTCTTCCATTCTCCGAGGAGCCAAATTTTCAACCCTCCGCCTCCTTCGTTCGCCTTCCCTTCTTATCTATTGATGCCTACTTTTCCGATCTTCGTAATTCAATCAACCTCATTTTTTTTTCTCCTCCTCCTCCTCCTCCTTTCCTCCTACTCCTTCTTCTTCTTCTTCTTCTTCTTCCTTTCCTTTCGTGACGCGGATAGACTACGCCCCTGTGAGAGGTATGGGATAATTGTGAACGGTCATATTCGGCATATATATATTTTTTTTACCTTCATCTTTCTCTCTATTCCTTCGTCCTATTTCCTCCCCTCTTTGCATTCTCCGCCTCCGTCGCTGTCTCGAAAAAAGGAGGAGAAATTTCCTCAAGGCGACCCTTTTACTGCTTTTCTTCTTAAGCTTTTGTTAAATGACGCCTGGCGAGGAAGAAATTGAGTTTTCCTCAACGGGCGGACAGGGGAGGGTAGGGTAGGGTGCTTGTAGGGAGAGGGGGTAGGGTGGTGGTAGGGGTAAGGGCAGGAAGGTAGGGAGGGAAGGGGGGAGGGAGGGAGAGAGATGGGGGTCAAGTGTCAAGGCGCCGCGTACCTACCTACTAAACTCACAAACAAAACACCGACGAGACCTGATGATGCACTCGACACGACGCCTATAATTGAACAATTCCCCAGAGGTAGACAGGCTGGGTTCTCACCTCTCTCTCTCTCTCTCTCTCCTGTCACTCCCCTCCTCGTCCTCCCCTCCCCTCCCCTCCTCTCCCTTCTTCTACTCTCTCCCTTCTCCTCCCCTCCCCTCCCTCCTACTCTCTCCCTCTTTCCCCTCTCCTCCTCCCCCCCTTCCTACCTCTCCTCCCCCCCTCTCTCCTTATCTTACTCCATGCCCCCCCTCTCGTAATTCCCGACAGATGATATCTCGGCACACGTCACAGCATCCACGGGCGCTACAGATCAGACTTATCGCTAAAACAGGAAATCCCAGCGTGTCCTCGTTGACGTCGAGAGGGTGCTCACCTGCCCCTTGGCGCCGCGGGTCGTGGCCTTTGACAAAAAGATCTTAGGTCCGAGGTGAAGGAATACATTATACAACATAATAAGACTTTCCCCCCCCGACAAATAAAACTTTCCCGATAAAGGAGAGTTCTCTCCGCGCGTCGCTGCGAATTTCCTGCGTCTTTGTAAGAAATGGGCTCTTGAGTTTTCCTCCTTCATAACACCACATATATATATAACTT